TTATATATAAATAAAGTATCACCTTTCATCATGGTTGATAATAAAACCCGTTGTGATATACAAGGCCAATAACATTTTTATCATGATAAATGGCTATTTTATTGCTGTTTGGATTCGAACCATATCACTCTGTGTACCTTTTCACCACGGTTGCTTCATTTGACTGTTGTGAGTTGTGACATGTCCTCTAGTAAATACCAAAAAAAAGCGCCCAGAAATAAACTATTACCACGGTTAACACTATGGCTATTGTAAAATTGGTGTTATGAAAGGTATATTTTGTAGTAGTGTCACCCAATGATTCACCTTTCCTCTACATTAAATTGAGGATTTCATATCTTTTTCTTAGGAGCACTAAAGCTAGAAAACACTCATTCAGAAAAATTGTTTCCATCTCTTCCCAGGTGGTGAAGATATCTGTTGGAAGTGAGTAAAATTTATCTTCATCATCCTCTGCTAAAGTGAAAGGGAACATTCTCAGCTTTTTGCTCTATTTAGTGTGCCCCTCTATCTTCAAAGTAGTACTCATTGTCAGAAACCTTTGCAGAAGTTTGTTTCCATCTTCATTGATATTTCCTATGAAAGGACTCTTCTCAAGCTAACATATGGTAGTGGGATGAAACTGAAAATTGGAAACATTCATCGGTTGGTTTACTATTGTCAATCTATCTCCCGGTCAATTTGTTCTCCCATAATCATCCAATAGTATTTAAGGTGGATTTTCCATCATGACTTCTTCTTCTCTCTCTGACTCTGTATCAAAATGGTTAGAGTTGTTTTCTTCGTGTTCTTCCAGTTTTTGCAACCGAGCTTTCCTAAGCCTATCGTGCAAGGTTCTTTGAATTTCGGCATCAAAAGGAAAATTAGTCGAGGGTTCTCCTCACACAAATGTCAGAAACCGGTTAGTGATAATAGATAAAATAAAATAAAACTGAAATAAAAATGTTAGTTGCAAAGCAACAAAATTTTAACTAAAATAAAATGATGAACTCTATAATCTTTGACAGTCCCCGATAATGGCACTAAAAACTTGATCGGTAAATTAACAAGTGTACTAATATTCCAAAATAGTAATAATGGAATTTCACTTCAGTTAAACAAAATTAATTTGGGGTTTTTTAGTAGGGTTTTATTTCAAAAGAGTAAATAACAGTAAAAAAGAGCAATGTAATATAGTAGAAAATAATATGAACAAAACATGCTAGGGAGGATGGTTTGAACATGAATTGTCAACAATCCTAAATTGACCTTATAACAACTTATCTTACCCCTACCGATTGCCAGTTTGCAAGGGTGTTTGCTTCTAAGTCCTTAGTGAGTAAAATTTTAAACATTCAAATTATTTTTCTATGTCCACAGTGAATTACAGATGAAATTAAATAGTTAATTATCAAAAAACGTAATGGTTTTCATATAATATCTCTAGTCCTAGATGATATCTAATATAAAATATTTCAATCAAGTGTTTTCTCAAAATCATATAAAGTTGGACATCTAATGATGATGTCATGGGATTAAAATGGGCATGTAAGACTAGCTAGAAAGTCTAAATTATTTTAGCATCTCTTTTGTGTGCCAGGTGTTTTGTTGAGGATAATGTAACTCTTAACATGTGTTTGCCTAAGAATTCAACCAAATTTACCTCTTTAGAGTTGAAGTTATTTTAAGTTAAGTGAAAGCATTTAAAAAAATTTCTTAATATATAATATATGTTAAGCTACATGGCCAACTAAGATAGTATTAACATCCCAATAAAAAAAACATGGATGAATATCAACATGGGATCATCCTCGTGAGGAATAACTGTTTCTTTGTCTTTTCTAAAAAATGTGATATATGGGAATAGTTAATTTTCAAATAAATATTGAACATGTTTTATTTGTAGAACAAAATGTTTTAAGAATGAGCTTGATTCTCCTGCTCTAAAGAATCTATTGGGAAGTCTGGGAGAGTCGGCAGCACCAATGTGACCAATGCTTCAGGACCACAAGAGGGAGACACCACATCTCAACCCAAAACTTTAAAGTGTTAGGTAAATGGGTCTTCTCTCTTATAAATCCAACATCCCACCCATTCATAGGCAATATAGGACTTTAACCACTGACACTTACACCCAACATTCTCCCCCAAAAGTGTGATTCTCTCACATCTTATAACAGGATCCAACATCGAATCCAGCTCTCGCTCTCCCACATAGCTGAACCACGACTCTAATACCACTATTGGGGAGTTCGAGAGAGTCGAGAGCACCAATGAGATTAATGCTTCAGGACCATAAGAGAGGGAGACACCACATCTCAACCCAAAACCTTAAGGTGTTAGGTAAATGGATCATCTCTCTTATAAATCCAACATTACACCCATTCATAGGCAACATGAGAATTTAAAGACTCACACTTTCATCCAACATTTGGTATCAGAGCAAGGTCATGGGTTCGAATTTCCCTAGCTGACATTGGGGGAAGGGGAACTATTGAATTTATTAATCTAGCATCACCCTTAGGGATTTGATGGGCTTAACATCCCAACCCATGACGCCTAGTATGGGCTAGGCGCAGCCCTTTTAGGGCTCTATACTACAGGAAATAAAGTTGCACCCTCACTAACAGTAATTGCTTTTAGCGCAATGGTAAGCGTTTGATCCAATAGTGGTATCATGAGCCTTTGATTCGAGCGATGGGACTGACTCACTTGTATTGACAGTATCCCCACATGGTCGTGGGTTAAGTGTCTTGTTGAATATTTTTAATGACAGTAGAAGTGTATGTGATAAAAAAAAATAGCTTCTGCTTGAGGGGGTTCATTGTGGATAGGCTCACACTTAAGGGAAAGTGTTGAGAATAACAAGTGTGAGTAGTTAATGGAAGTCTCACATTGGTTAGAAATATGGAGACTTGAGAATTTATAAGTGGGAGAGTCCACACACCTATCACCTTAAGATTTTGAGTGAGTATGTGGTTTGTCTCTTTTAAATGTGTGTTGCTCATAAAAAGAAAGTCTTCAAAATAAAAATACTCTTTCATGTTGACCCATGAATTTGTAGCCCTAATAGAATCCTCCAACAATGACATTAAGTGTATGTGTGAATGGGTCAGCATCTTTCTTTGTATCATTGTAAGTGAATATTATTCTTATTCTCTTTGTGGATTTTGTGACCTTTACCTTTAAAGTATGTTTTCTCAAGTCTTTCTTAGATGAGCAATTATGTATGTACTTTTTTAAATACTCATCATATCTTCTCGATGAGTAATTCTTCATTCACTCTTGTATTCTCTCTTTAAACAAGATTTGTATTATCTTAAAATAAAAATTAATTAAAAATTGAAAATTACATATAATAAAAGTTTAATGGATATATACTCATAGTGTAAAACAGTGTTACATTATTATTCAATAAAAACTTAATTATTTATCATATTTTTAAAATATACAGGTGATTTTGCAAAATATACATTATTGTTTGTGTAAGTGTAAAATTATTTTAAAATGCCGATGAATATCTAATTTTCTCATATAATAAAGGTTATAAAAGTAATTTTGTCAACAAATGTTTTCAAAATATTGATGCATTTTTCATCTTTGATGCTAAAAGATGCCAAACGAAATTTGATTGGAAAGAAAATTGATTTGAAAGCAATCCTAAGTTAGTACATTTAGCATGTCAATTCATTTTCTTTATGTAAATATTATATATAAAGAATGGCCCACGTTCCGTACAAGTACTTTGTTCATTGCTAATGGTCTTAATTAAAGTATTAAACCTTTTTCCCCTGTTTAATTGATTGCACCTCATTATATATTAACATATACTTTGGTGGAATTAGACTTTATGTTATGTTTCAATGTGACACTAAATTCCTTTCATTAACAAAATACTATATATTAGTATCAATATAGTGATAGATATTTAAATTTTGTAGTTATTTGATCGAGAGCTGTGATGTGATCGAAGCCAATGGAAATATATAAAATATAAATTTCTTAGATGAATCTCAATTATCATGAAAATTAATTTTTATAGCTGCAAAGAAGTGTGTTTATTATATAAAAAAACGTATTTGATTATTTAAATTTGTGTGTATCTATCTTAATAAAATTTTAGCGGTTCATTTTAATCATGGAAAAAATATTTAAAAAGATTTAATTGATATGCGTTGACAGTATAAAATATTTTTAAAGTGTTATTTAATAAAAATTTATCAATCTATCATATCATATAATTAACTTCAAATTCATAATCTGATGTAACAAAATATATAAGAATTTAGTAAATCTGATTTAACCAAAATATAAATTCAAGGTAAACTACGTTATTGATAAAGTTTTAGTTTTTAGTAAATTTAATTAAGTTGATTTGTTGAATAAATCGAACCGGTTTAATAGATTTAATATTTATTAAATATATAAATTTTTATAAAATTCACAAATTTTTATTTTTTAATTTTTAATTGTTAGTAAATAATATTCAAAATTTATTATTTTTTTATGAGTACACGTGTCACTGTTCTATTATAAAAATAATAATTATTTTATTATACCGTGAATCTCATTATAATAATGAATCTTATTTTTGACAAATTTAAAATAATCTCAACTTGATTAAAAAAATTGTATACTATCGAAATTAAAAAAATTAAATCAATCCAATATTTAACTTAATCCAATTTTGTTTATATAAAAAAAATTATAAATTAGCGATTTTGATGAGATGGTTCAAATTAGAGAGAGTACTTGATTATTTCTTTCTAAATTGAAATTTAAAAATGATGGTTTATGTGCCTCGTTTGATATGAAGTGACAAATTTTACATGATTGAATCACAATCACTTGATTCTCATACACACAAACACACAATATAGCGTAGCATAATTATAAGGATAGGACAGGACATCTTTTTGGGTGCTATAAAAACCATCCCACACTTTCATTTCAAAATCATGTTTTATTTCAATTCCAACTACTATTGCATTGTTCCTTGTGTGTCCCTTCATCTTCTTCTCATGGACAGAAACAATTCTCGCAGACAAGTTGCTGCAATGAAACAGTCACTGTTTGATCAGGGACTTCTCGATGAACAATTTATTCAACTTGAAGAATTGCAAGATGATGCTAATCCTAATTTTGTTGAGGAAATTGTCACTCTTTACTACCGCGATTCATCCAGGCTTATCTCTAACTTAGAACAGACACTGTAAGATTATTATATATACATTAACTCCATCATGATTTTGTATAATAAGTTGTTGTGAAAATTTTGAATCTAAATTATTGTGATTTTTGTGCATGTGGCAGGGAGAGGAATCCATTGGATTTCAACAAGCTGGACACAATCATGCATCAGTTTAAAGGAAGCAGCTCAAGGTATATAGTTACTAGATACAGGTGTAAACTATGTTAGTTGATTGAACAATGATTTTAATAAACTATGGTTTGCAGCATTGGGGCTAAAAAGGTGAAAGCAGAATCGACACTAATTAGAGAATATTGCAGAACAGGAAATGCAGAAGGGTAATGTAACTTTCATTAACAAAAAAACACACACACACGCACACTGGCATTTATTCATGGAATATGATTCTTAACAATTGTTGTTGTTACATATATTCAGGTGTAGAAAGAGCTATCAACAAATGAAGAAAGAATATGTAGCATTGAGAAAGAAACTTGAAAATTATTTTCAACTAGCTAGGCAAGCTGGGCCTCTTGAAAGAGCATGTCGTCCAAAGTAAACAACACCTTATACAAATATGTTGAAGGCATGGAAATGTAAATTGGTGAATTTTGTAGTAAATCTCAAGAAGAAAACATGTTATGTATTCACCAATAATATATATGAGGTCTATATTCTATGTTTTTTCAAATCAAAGTGTTGTTATACGATTCCTACTATGGAACTTTATAGAGTTTATACTATCACTATATAGAGGAAATTATGTTCCATCGTGTTACAACTACTATCATTGTTATTCTTTCTTTCTCTCTGCAATTGGCTCAAGTATAAAAAAACTAGTTTAATTGATGTTACCTCAATTTAAAAAGAGAAAATAATGAAGAATTGTGAGGGAGATTACCAAATTAAAAAAAAAAAGAAAAAAAGAAAAAAGGTAAGAGATCAAAATAATTTAAAAGTTATGGAGCACAAAAAGGAAAGTTGGGGACTTGTATAAACAATATTATTTTAAATAATATTTTTGAATGTCTAATGGCTTGTATAAGGCTATTGACGTATTAAGTTTATTAACTAAATTCTCTTTTGAAATTTTTAATGATAAGCGAAATGAGTTTGTTTAAATATTTTTGGATGAATGTGATTAATATTGTGTCATACTTTAAATTTTATCTTTAAATTATATTATCTTTTGCATAGCATCCAATACATTTTAGGTGTGTCATTCATGCATAGCTAACCCTCAAAACTATCAAATATTGTCTTGTTTTGTTTCATTTGTTAATTAGCGTTTGCATTAAGGAGATTATTGGTTGATCAGTCAAAGTCTTGGATTGATCATCAATATATCAATTTTTCATGATCAAAAGCTTCCCTACATCAACAATCTAGTGTATTGTGGCCTCATTATAAGTTCATCAAGTTTCAAATTCATCTGGTCCACAAATTAGGGTTTCTAAGAAAAGTCAACTGCACCTTTGACTTTTAACCAAGACATGATCTCAAGCCTTGGGACATGGTTCAAGACACTCAAATACACCTTTGGAGTCCATCCATACTGTTCATATAGCTCAAGGGATTGAAGTATGAAACTTGAAGTTCATTTGATGAAAAGTCAACCACTGATCAAAGTCAAGTTTAACTTTTGAATTTTTGGTAAAACATGGGTTCCTCAAGTCGAGAATGATGATAATATGTGATTTGGATTATGATCAATCAAGAGAAATAAAAAAAAAAGTGAGGTTACTTGCAAAAAGGGCAACAATGAAGAAATTGAAATTTTTTCTAAGTTATCGAAGTTCATGATTTTTGCCCAACTTCTCAGGGCCATAACTTCCAATCCAAGCAACCATTCTATTTGCTCCAAAGACCAAATTGAAGAGCTTGTTACATACTACAACTTTGTTCTATGGGTTGATATTAAAAAAAATGCAGAGATTTAGAAAATAGAAGCCATGAATTGGAGGATTCTTCGCCCTTTGAACCAAAACACTTGGAAAAAATTTCAACAAAATCTGCCTTTGTCTTGGAGCCAACTTTGAGGCCATATTCACCATGATCCCTTTTGATTCAAGAAAAAATAAAATCATGAAAGTTGTAGAGAATATTTCAAGCTTTTCAAATAGTCCAAGAACACATTTTTATCATTCTTGAGCTGGGAGTTTCAAAGACATGAAGTTGACCATTCCAAGCTAAATTTTAGGTCATTCTTATGGAAAATTCATGATCAAATCCAATGCCATGCTACATAATATTGCTTTGCAGGACATGTTGCTTCTAAATATTCACCTAATTGAAGAATTACATAGACCCTAAGTGCATTATCCAAGTGGCTAAGACATTGTTCAAAGAGCTATTCCATTTAAGGCATAAAGATTACACTTCCATTTTGATAAAGTGACTTTAATCACAAAGTCAACTTCTCTTGAGCTCCACATTATTTCTTCTGCATACAAACTTTTCTTTGCATAGAAGCAAGATCTCTGAACTTTCCAACAACTTTAAGAAAGGCTTGTATTATATCTTGGAACTTCAAAAACTCATGGAACTACACTTTGGATCCCAACCAAACCATAAACTCCACAACTCCAATTCTGCAGAACCCTCAAACTCTAATGTCTCTCTATAAATAGAGGACTTATCCTCATCACAAATACACAATAAAACACATCAGAAAGAATCCTAAACACTCCTCACTTCAGCATTTGCATCCAAACCTCCACCTTGTGCCAAAAATCTCAAATTTGCACAAACCTGTCCAAACTCTTCCACAACCATAAAATCCTCAAACCAACCATCCAAACACCTCACAAAATACCTGAAAAAAGGTGTTCAAACCCTCATCATCACCAAAGAACCTCAGGTTCAGAAAGTCAACTTTCAACCTCAAATTTATTGACTTTCTACATAAACCAAGCCAAATCATCATCCTAACCATTTTCAATCCATTCAAGCCATCAAACACCTTCCATTAGCCTTCTTTGAACTGTTCCAAGTGATGATTTGCAACTGTAACACCATTTGAACTAAGTTTCGTTTCTCATTTTTTTATTCTAGCAAGAGGATTCGTGCAAAGAATTAATAGTTGTTCCAAAGTGTTTCAAGCATTCTAAAAGCATCAAGGAGGTACATAAAAGCTTTATGGACCATCAAACAACTTTTGTAACTAGATTGAAGAGGCATTGAACCTTGCTTCAATAGGTAAGCTTTTACAAACTTGAACTCACTCATACAAGCATCCTTAGTGTTTGATATCTGAAGCAAAAATGTAGCATTTGATGTGCAGATGGTGTTCCATAAGTTAGTTGCAATATATCATGTGTGTACGTGAAGTTTTGATTCTCTGAACAATTAGGTTTCATTTTGGTCTTGATGAGATAATGTTCTATCCTTTGATTTTAATTCAATTAAATTATACCATTATATTGATCATGAAATTTCATGCAACTTTGGTTTTACATCACTGCATTTCATGGAAAAATGAAGAAGTTAGCTTTTTGAAATTTTGAAAAATGGTGGAGGAGAGTTTCAGGATGAAGATGGTGATGAAGGCACCCTTTTTTCATTTTTAAAATTGTTTTTAATATATATTTTTTAGGTTGCATTTTGTTTATGACTAAGGCATTTCCCCATAATGGTTTATGTGTGTGTGTGTGTGTGTGAAGCGTGTTATCGAGGTAAAGGTTTGGGGTTCAAATCACCCTTGCCCCAGACCTTTTGTGCCTTTTTTATTTTCATGTTTTCCATGTTATTTTCAAATATATTATGCAATGTGTGTTCTCTTATTGGGCCAAGCAAATGGCTCAGTGGTTAGTGTTTTAACCTGTAGAGCCAGGTGCATGGGTTCAAGCCCTGTCAGAAGCAAAACCCTTCCTTTTTATCACTTATTCCATTTCTCATTTTTTTCATTTTCATTTGATCATATCTCACAAACCACTCACTATTTTGAGCTGATTTTTAGCATACCTATTATTTGCCACACATATTTTGTGAATTTATCAAAAAATTCCAAAAAATATTATTTTTCATCCATTTTCGTTAGGTTAAAAACATGATATTTTTATGTGATTTTTAGGGCTTTTCATGATTTTCTTGATTTTTTTTCCTAATCTAATGGTTCATAAATGTTTTTATGGTCATAATATGTCTTGTACCATGTTTAAATGTTGTGTTTATGCTTCCCACCTTGATTAAATATGTCATTTTTCCATCATGTTCAAGTTCGCTTTCCATATACATAAATGTTGCAAGTGTGCTTTTGTCTCTTAGGTTTAGGATTGATTTTGGTGCTTACCATGATTTTGTTTCTCCTCTTAAATGTATGTTTGATTCCCATTAGGCTTGTTTCCACTTGTATGCTTATGATACTTGTAATCTTCGTTTATGTTTGTGTATATTGACTTATGTCTTGTGTTTTCAATGTGTTTCCTTCACAAATTTCCATTGTACATAAAACATGCTTCTTGTATTGCATTCATAATGAACTTTTGACATGAATCCTTGCTTGTTACCATTGTCTTGAACTTTGTCTTAAATTGTATTCATGATTAAGTGGTGTCTTTAAACTTGTCCATGATTGTTGAAATCTTAAATTGTATTCATGATTAAGTGGTGTTAATGTCATCCCTAGACCATGTTCTAATCTTGATCTCTTCATCCATATTGATATTGTTATATCCATGTGTAAGTGTTGATACTTGTTTTCATCCATTTTTATATTTGTTATATCCATATATTGGTAACATGTTTGTACCTTAGATTACTTAATATTTGTAGTTACATCCATGTCTATGTTCACATGTTGTTACTTATGTATTCATACTTTATACTTACATGTTATTATTATGAACATGCCTTGAATGAACATCTCAATATGCTATGACACCTCATTCTTGTTTGAAAAACATTTCATATACACTTTTGATTATGTATAATTCATACTTGTGTTGTTACTTTGGTCTTGTTAGAACCATGTCTTATGTATGCTTTGTCTATGCATCATCCATGCTTATATGTTCATCCTTGGTAGTTACCTTGCCCATTTATGACTTTGATAGGTCTTGCCTTAGACGGTATCACATCTACCTTCATGTATTTAGTTGTTACCATATTCATTTTAACTTTTTTATATCTCATTACATCTCATAGTTGATATCATGTATGAATCTTTGCCATGAGTTGTATGCCTTGATTAATATCATGTTTGAACATCATCTTTATCATTATTTATCCATCTTGGTTGATATCATGTTTGAATGTCATCTTTTGTGTTGTTTACTTTGATATCATGTTTGAATATCATCCTTGTTCATCTCATCCATTATCACCCATTTATTCATTGTTATTTTGACTTTGTCAAGTCATGCCCTAGTGATGTTACCTTGTTAGCTCTCTTCCTCTCTCTCCCTCTTGTCTTTTGTTTCCTAAATCTGAAGAAAAATCTAATTTTGTTGACTTTATGTCATAGGTAGTGTAACATTCCTTCAACAACCCTTTTTAACTTTATCAAGTCATTAACCTTTCAACATAATCTTAGGTTAGAGTTTGTAAACTCTTTGACTT